ACTGCACTACAGTCTGGGCGACAGAGTGAGACTCCGACTCAAAAAAAAAAAAAGGAAAAAAGAAACAGAAAAAATTATGCTTATAACATTGATAGAGCTTCTTCTAAAATAGTTGGCAAATTGCAAAGGGAGAACCAGTACCTTTACATAAAGAATCCCAGCAGATACCACCTCAGCCACGTGGTCAGTGTTAATATCATCAGTAATCAAGGACATCAACAACACATACCCTCCGATATGACGCACTTGGAGAGCAGGACACCTCTGTGGTCTCCTGCCCAGGAATGCATAACCTCAATCTTACCACAAGAAAACCCAGAAGAACTCCAATTGAGGGATATTCTATAGCAGTGGTTCCCAAACTTTTTGGCATCAGGGACCAATTTCCTGGAAGACAATTTTTCCACGGACGGGGTGGGGTGGATGACCCAACATTAGGAACGTACAGCCTAGAGCCCTCACACGGGCAGTTCACAACAGAGTAGGTGCTCCTGTGAGAATCTAATGTGGCTGCTGATCTGACAGAAAGCAGAGCTCCACTCACCTGCCATTCTTCTCTGGCTGTGCAGCCAGCTCCGTGATAGGCCATGGACTGATGCCAGTATGCAGCCCAGGGGTTGGGAACCCCTTTTCTATAGGTCACCTGATCAGCATGGTTAATAAGATAACACCAATCTTAACTGTGATGAATTCTTTATTTAAGGGGAAGCTGGGTGAAGGGTATATGGGAACTATCTGTACTATCTGTAAGTCTAAATAAAAATTCCTTGATAGATCTTGCCCTCCCCCCAGCAGTAGGAGAATGCCTGTTTTCTAACATAACATAAAACCAACTTCTTAGTGCTTGGCAATCTCATTAAGCGATGTTATAAAATACATTTATTGTGAGTATAAATGAACATCTCTTCATTGACTGGCCATCTGTATGTTCATTCTGATGAAATGCCATTTCATATTATTCACTCACTTTAAAACTGTGATGTTCATCTTATTGATTTCTAAGAGCTCTTTGTATGCTAAAGATAAATCAACTTTTGGTGGTTCATGCAAATTTTTTTTTTCAATTTTTGATTTGTTCAAGCACTTTTTGATTGACCAGGGCCACAAAATTTTTGATTGTTGACTTTATAGAATTTTTGCCCACAGTTTGGTGTTGCTGTTTCTATTTTAAATAGCTTAATCTTATCCATCTTTTCTTTTATTGCTTCTGGATTTTTTTTTAATACTTAGAAAGGCATCCCCTACTCTAAGTTTAAAAATATATTTACCCATATAGTTTCATATTTACATTTACATTGTTCATCCATTTGGAAATTCTTTGAAATATAAGGAAATATAAATAACAAGGCTTTTTTCCTGTAAAGCCTAGTTTTTCTAATACCCTTTATTGAATAATCTATTTTTACCCAGTGCTTTCAACAGCTATCTTTGTCATAAACTACAATCCCTAACAATATACTTTTAGATGGGGCCCTTGCAAGTCCTTTTGTTATTCCAGCAAATACACCAGTAGTGTACTACAAGTTTGAAAGCAGAAAATAAACTTGATTTTCACTTCAAGGAATGTGTGCAGTCACCTAACATTCTCCTTCCTTCGACCAGTCAACACAAAATCTATCAAGCAACTACCATAAGTCAGGAGCTGTGCTAGCATCAAGCAGCTCAGGGTAATGCTAAGAGAAGAAACTGGAACCCCATGGCCATGTCTGACCCTGATCTCGCTCTTGGGAGGCATGGGGCCTGCCTAAGCCTACTCTTCTCTTCACAGGGTTGGTTTGTTTTTTTGAGTCGGAGTCGCACTCTGTCGCCCAGCCTGGAGTGCCATGGCCGCTCCTGGCCCCCGCAGCCTCGACCTGCTGGGCTCCGGCGATCCTTCCGCCTCAGCCTTCCGAGTAGCTGGAACTACAGGCGCGCACCACCACGCCCGGCTAATTTTTTTTATTTTTATTGTAGAGAGGAGGTCTCGCCAAGTTGCCCAGGCGGGTCTTGAATCCGCGGGCTCAGGCAATCCACTCACTTCGGCCTCCCAAGGCGCGGGATTACAGGCTGAGCCACCGAGCCCGGCCTCCTCACAGGGTTATTACGAGTATTAAATGAGTTAAGAGACAAGTGCTTAGAACCACATCTGGCACAAAGTAATTGCTCAATAGCCACTGACTATAATTATTAGTGGGGAGGGAACGACGAATAACAGATCATTTCTGGAGTCAATCTTTTCCTGCTTTATGAGGGAAAGCGATGAGTACTTTCTTTCCACAACCATTTTACTTGATGACTGACACCAGGGGGCTGACTCACAGATGCCACTGCCGCATGAGATGTCCGCGACCAGGGCCACGTTATGAAAAAGAAAGGTCTGAGGAAGCTGAACATGAGGACAGTCCCG